TTGGAAAAGTATTTTAAATAATATACAAAATGCTTTTCTCAAAAGAGTATTTAAATGCAAGATAAAAATAGGTATTTTTTATTTTGTTTTTTGCATTTTAAATGCAAGTGTTTCAAATAAATCACATCTCTGTAAATCTAGTATACAAGATGACAAAAAACGGCAAGTGATTTATTTTTAAGAGAAGGAAATCTAAAATGGCGTCAAAAGTATGACCACCATTTTGATATTAAGGTTTTGCTAAATATCTCATGAAGAACGCACCTCTCCATAAAGATGTTTACATTTTTTTTAATAGAGAATGGAATTAATTTTCTTAATTAATTAACTTTCCTATCATCATCATCATAGGGTCGTCAGTCCTAAGACTGGTTGGACACGTACCTCCACTTTTTCCTATCCTGAGCTAAACTTCGCATTTCCCTAAAACTAGAACAGCCCACATCCTTAACTATTTGCGAACAGTAATCTAATCTAGGTCTACCTCTACCCCTCCTAACTCCTGTTTCTGCCTCTAATATGTCTCTGACTAGACCTTCATGCCTGAGAAGGTGTCCTACCAACCTATCTCGCCTATTTTTTATTGACTTCCATAGAGTCCTCTGTTCTCCTATTCTTTCCAATACCTCTTCATTTCTAACCTTTTCTACCCACGATATCCTCATCATCCGCCTATAACACCACATTTCGAACGCTTCTAACCTTTTCTTTTCCGCCGCTCCCACTGTCCATGTTTCGCACCCGTACAACGCCGTGCTCCAAACATACACCTTTAACAACCTTTTTCGAATTTCTAAATTAACCGTTCGCGAGCATAGAAGTGACTTCTTTTTATTAAAGGCGACACGACCCTGCGCTATCCTCTGCTTTATATCCCTACTACTCCTTCCATCCTCACTTATCTGACTTCCTAGGTATCTAAAATCAGCCACTTCTTCTAATTTTTCGTCTCCTATCTTTATATTCGCTCTTTCCCTACTTTTTCTTCCCTTGCATACCAGTATTTTAGTTTTACTTTTATTTATTTTCATACAGTACTGATCTGTCAGTACCGCTTCCATTTTATTTAAAGCTATCTCTAGGTCCTCCTTGCTAGATGCTAATACTGCTATATCATCTGCAAATCTAAGCTTACTAATCTTTTGCCCCTGTATATCTATCCCTACAGTTGTACTGTCTTTAATGATGTCGATCGCGTCTTCGATGTATACTTTCCTATAAAGAATTTAATATAAAAATCAAACTTAACACTACAATTACTTTGTATTAAGCGGTTGGTCAATATAGGCGGAGTCATAATAAACGAATTCCACTGTATTTAATTTGACATGCTGTTGCTCTAATAAAATTATTATTTCTGTCAGGACCAAGGTGTTAGGAGGTGAAATGAAGTCTCTATTGCAAAGCGCCGTTCACAAGACTACGGGAAGGACCATACCGGACGATGTACTTGACGCAATTTTAATCGGATATAGTGACGCAGGTGGAAATTATACAGCAGACATGGCTACTAAATTAATTGCTAATATAATCGACCAGCAATATGCCAATTTTAAAAATAACAGACATTATTGTAATGATTCTAGCGACAGCGATGATGATGATGCTTACAGAAATGATTTTAAAATAAACATTAAATATATTGATTAGGGAATACACCGGAATTATGGTTTTAAATTGTTTTGTTGATGTCTCAATTTTAATTTGTACAAGTGTTAAAATATTTTTAATGTTCGTCTTAATTGTTTTATACTAATTTGTGTTGTACTTATTCCAAATTTTAAATTAAAACTTGCACTTTAGAAATAAATTATCTTTGAATTGTACTGGATTCATTTGCATAAAATTGAATAAAACAAATAGTTATTATTGAATTATAATTGAAATTTTCTGTTTGCCCACTCGTAGAGACTGTAATAGTAAATCAAATGAACCGTGAATGAAATTCAAAAATTAGATGATAATAAAGTAGCGGAAGCGGACATTCGATTCCTAATTTGTATCAAAGTTTGTATATTAAAATATAAAAAAGGAGCTAGAGTATATTATAATAGTATTTTTTAAGGAAAATTGGCTTAAACTAATGCAATACTAATTTCTAAACAACAGAAAAAGAAAATTCTATTTCGAGCTGACGAATGCGGAATATTGGTTTAGTTTTGTTAAAAACTTTTACGCTTGCACCATAGAAAACTGCAGAGAGGAATTACAAATTAAAACAATACATTTTTGGCTCATGTTGGCTAGAAAATAAATTTTTAAAGCAGAACTAAGCATTTTTAACAATAATTCAAGATGTGCAGTCTGTTACACCCTAGACTCATTATATTATAATAATTTCAGGGATGGTTCCAGAAACAATTCTTGGGGGGGGGGAGGTGATCACAATCTGTTAATTCCACACGAATTTTCCTCTACGAAAATAAGTTTTGAAGTTAAACGAAAAAATTGCAAATTATCATGTCATCTAACCATAATGTTTATTTACAGGTTTTTAATAAGTATCTTTTTGAGAAGAACAATTTTCCATCGTAATGGATAATTTTAAAAATTGACAAGTTAAGAAAAAAATTAAAATAGAATTGATGAACTGCGGATGTTACATTTCCTTAGACCCCCTCCCCCCTCTTGTCATATTTAATCGTGCTAAGCACCTCCCGATCCTATTTGCGCACGTATCTTATGAATAGCCCCTTCAGGTAGGGTTGCCACCTTTTCAGGCTTTACATAAAGTATTTTTCGACTAAAAGGTTAAAAAAAAGTACTCACCATGAAAATAAACTATTTTATTTTTTGTTTTTAAAAACTTATTTTTTGTTACACCTAGCAGCCAGTAACAAATTGCTGTCGCTCTTAAATACATTAATAGCCTCTAAACATGGCAAACAAAGATTTAAGTAAACTAAAAGTTCATTTTTAATTAGTTTTAATGAAGCTTTATTCCTGTCGTCCCGCCACTTTGCGTTCATAACAGAGAATACTCTTTCTGTAAATGCTGAAGTGGCCGGAACGGACAGCAAAAGTGACACTACTTTGAACAGATTTGGGAAATCAGGTTGTTCCGTAAATATGGCTTGCCGTTTTTCTGTGCAATATTATTAAATACATCTAATATTGTAATAGAATTTCCCTGTCAATGAAACTAGCGTTCAGAAACACAGAAACAATCTCAAAAATATTGTATTGTGCAATATTATTGATGTAAAAATACTCTGAATTTCGAATAATCGCTTACAAAATTACGATGTTTACTGAAGGCCTTAAATAAAGTGTTTTTGCGTACTTTATATGTCTTGTAAAATATAACGTATGTACAGTTGAAATAGAGTACAATACTTTATAATAAAGTACGGGTGGCAACCCTACCTTCAGGACAAGTTTCTTAATTCAATTTTTCTCACAAATCGTAGAGCTCTTGGGGGGAGGTGGAAAAAAATTCTTTTCTTCAACCCCCACCCTTCCGCCACTGATACTTTTCGTAAATAAGTAAGGAACTGAACAAAATTTACATGCAACCTGTCTAATCTTGACGTATTTCATTATTACGGTCGGGACGCCTCGTAAATTAGGGAATAGCAAATACACCTGGGTCGGACGCTAGCCTCTCGGCCGTCGGGACGTCTAAAATAGACGACCCGGCCATCGTCTTTGCCGGTTGCGCCTTTCAACCGATTTCAAATATTTCAAAACGAAATAACTACAGATACATACGTGCGTTAGTTTCGAACGCGCCATAATTGCCCTATCGAGTTAGTGAGTGAAATTCATACACCAGGAATATATTTTTTTTTTATACAACATCCCGGTAATTGTAATGGCTTATAATTGGGATAATAGAGTGTATTTTGCCATCAAGTATTTATATGGTAAGTGGGTTTGTGCCAAATCAAAGAACCAAAGTGCCGTGTGAAATTCATCGGAAACTTGATTGCTTAACCACTTGTTAAGCAACGTTATTTTATTAATGTGGTCGTTAAGTGAGCTATGAATTGTACAGAATTTATGCTTTTTCTCTTTTTTTGGCATTAGGATGATTTGATAATAGAAAAATAGTAATAAAATACATAATCGTACATGGTATAACTCGGAATTGTACTCAAATTATTTGAATAATTAAATTAATAATTTAAATTCTATGAACAAGAGATTATTTGAAATTTAAATATTTAGATATTCATCTAAATACATGTCTGAATATTCAAATTTCAAAAATCCAAATATTTCATTCTTCAAAATTTCAAGTATATGAATATCTGGATACGTATATTATAATAGTATTTTTTAAGGAAAATTGGCTTAAACTAATGCAATACTAATTTCTAAACAACAGAAAAAGAAAATTCTATTTCGAGCTGACGAATGCGGAATATTGGTTTAGTTTTGTTAAAAACTTTTACGCTTGCACCATAGAAAACTGCAGAGAGGAATTACAAATTAAAACAATACATTTTTGGCTCATGTTGGCTAGAAAATAAATTTTTAAAGCAGAACTAAGCATTTTTAACAATAATTCAAGATGTGCAGTCTGTTACACCCTAGACTCATTATATTATAATAATTTCAGGGATGGTTCCAGAAACAATTCTTGGGGGGGGGAGGTGATCACAATCTGTTAATTCCACACGAATTTTCCTCTACGAAAATAAGTTTTGAAGTTAAACGAAAAAATTGCAAATTATCATGTCATCTAACCATAATGTTTATTTACAGGTTTTTAATAAGTATCTTTTTGAGAAGAACAATTTTCCATCGTAATGGATAATTTTAAAAATTGACAAGTTAAGAAAAAAATTAAAATAGAATTGATGAACTGCGGATGTTACATTTCCTTAGACCCCCTCCCCCCTCTTGTCATATTTAATCGTGCTAAGCACCTCCCGATCCTATTTGCGCACGTATCTTATGAATAGCCCCTTCAGGTAGGGTTGCCACCTTTTCAGGCTTTACATAAAGTATTTTTCGACTAAAAGGTTAAAAAAAAGTACTCACCATGAAAATAAACTATTTTATTTTTTGTTTTTAAAAACTTATTTTTTGTTACACCTAGCAGCCAGTAACAAATTGCTGTCGCTCTTAAATACATTAATAGCCTCTAAACATGGCAAANTCCAATTCGATTTGATTTTAATTTATAACATACACTATGCGTGCCAATGCTTACAGTTTCGAGATTCGTGGGATCGTTTTTCTGTGCCAGACAACAGCGTTTGTAAAAAGCGTCGAATACAGTGATAGGCCCCGCTTGCCAAATTTATATAATATTAAAAGCGTGTAAAGATAAAAGAATAAATAAATAGTTAATTAAAATAATTCTAAAAACCACGTGGTACACTAGGACAGAACAAGACAACAATATAATCCATTAAATAAATATAGATAAATCCGTTATGAATCAAAATTGCATATTTGACTAAAATAAACAAAATTCTGCCACCTACCGCCCCCCCCCTCCATAATATGCATCTTTACTTTTTTTGATATATCTCTTTTTCTTCATTCCCACTCGCATTAATCATCTCATTACCCTCATCCCAATTTCTACTTTCATCACATTTTTCCAATACATCCAACAACGTCATAATCTTTCATCCTTCTTCACTCAAAATTTCATCCTCTACATTAATTTCCCATTTTAAACCTTTACATCTATTTATTTATTTATTCCTTTCAAATCAAAGGGTTGAAATATTATTCTTACTCTTATGAAAAGTCCACCAATATTGTACTACATGTTGTTCAACTAAACCTAGGATGAAGGCCTTTTTTACCTTTAAGTCAAGACAGGGTGTACAAATACTAAACAGTATTTAGCCCCTGAGCATTATAGATACCTAGTTTACAAATTGGTTCAAACATTGAAGCTACTGTAGCCATAGTTGATGTAATTGCAGGTTTTAGAGTTTTTAGATAGTTGTTGATTAAAGATTTTTGCTCCTAGCTGGAGAGATCTTCACGAGTTCACCAACATTGTACATGTTGTTCAACTAAACCTAGGAGGAAGGCTTTTTTCACTTTTTACTGCGCAAAGCCAAAGCAGGGTGTACGAATGTTTAGTGTTTAATCTCTGAGCATTGTAGGTATCTAGCTTACAATTTTTTTCAAGAATTCATGCTATTGTAGCCGTAGTTGATGCAATTGGTGGTTTTCGAATTTTCAGGTCGTTGTTGATTAAAGATTCTTGCTCCTAGCTGGAGAGATCTTCAGGAGTTCACCAATATTATACATGTTCTTCGATTAAACCTAGGAGGAAGGCTTTTTGTACCTTTCACTACACAAAGTCATGACAGGGTATACGAATGTTTAAGTGTTTAACCCCTGAGCATTGCAGGACCCTAGTTTAAAAATTTATTCAAGAATTCATACTATTGTAGCCATAGTTGATGCAGTTGGAGGTTTTCGAATTTTTAGGTCATTGTTGATTAAAGATTCTTGCTCCTAGCTGGAGAGATCTTCAGGAGTTCACCAATATTATACATGTTCTTCGATTAAACCTAGGAGGAAGGCTGTTTGTACCTTTTACTACACATTTCAAGTCATGACAGGGTATATGAATGTTTAAGTATTTAACCCCTGAGCATTATAGCTATCTGGCTTACAAATTGATTCAAGCATTCGGCTATGGCAACCATAGTTGATGTAGTTGGAGATTTTCGAGTTTTTTGGGAGTAGTTGATTGATTGAGATCGTCAGGAGTTCTTCTCCTCACATTAGGAGCAAGAAGCCTTAATCAAGCCAGAACTTGGCTTCGGAAGCAACAATTAAAATTGCAATATTTTTGAATCACCGAAAGGAAGAAGACATTGAAAAAGTTCATCGTGGCACTATTCACACCAATAAAAGTACAGGGATGAACTCGCGTATCGGAAACTTTTAGTGATTATTAATTGCGTTTACAAAAACAATATTTTTGTTTAATTTAATTAGTTAGAAAAGAGATAAAAATTTAAATGAATATTAAAATCAATATTTTTGTATAACTGGTGTAGTGCACAGCTGTTGTGCTTTGTACTGAAAACCTAAATAAACATTTGATGATACGTTGCAGGCTAAATTCCTTTCGAAAACGGTAAAAAAATAAATATAAAAATATTGTGGGTGTGTTATGTATCGTAGATAACTCTATGCGATAGAAAACATTGAACTGAGTCAAAGTTTTAAATAAGAGGTGATAGTTTGGCATGCTAAATTTTGAACAATTTATTACACTTAAAATTGAATTTTACGCCAAAAATAACTGCATAGGAAGAAGAAGCAAGCTTTTATCGTTGTTGTGTGCATTTAATAGGGAACGCTGTGGATAAAACATCACCCAGTTTTCGATATTCCAATAAAATTTTATCGCAATATTTTTAAGAGGCAGCTAATGGGCATTACAAAAATACGTACTTTACAATGAATCAAAATATTCCCGTTCCTATAAAAAAAATATTTTAAAAAATTTTGTACTTGATTTGATAACTAAAATAATAGAAAACGTAATGTCTACGTAAGCAATAAGCAACAAAAAACAGTAAACTAAAACTAATATGTATATTTGCGTCATAAACCTCTAATTTGAGGCTTTTCAAGGTAGTTTTTTTAAACTCACAATGTATTGCTTCCAAATCGTCGAGGTGAGTGGTAAATGAGCCCAAAAAACTTAATATCACAAAATATATATACATATATTAA